CCAGGTCCCTTTCTCCTGCACTGCTCTCCAGAAGGTCAACCTATACTGGCACATGGGGTTATTCTTTCCCAGGTGCAAAACTCTACACTTGCCCTTATTGAACTTCATAAGTTTCCTCCCCGCCCATCCCTCTAGCCTGTCTAGGTGTCTGAATGGCAGCACAGCCTTCTGATGTGTCAGCCACTCCTCGTAGTTAATTGTCATCAGCAAACTTGCTGACAGTGCTCTCTAATCCTTCATTCAGGCCATTGATGAATATATTGAAAAGCACTGGTCCCAGCACTGACCCCTGAGGGACCCCACTAGATACAGGCCTCCAGCAGATATACTAAAAAATTATCCTGCTCAGCCTAACTCCGAAAATGAAGAAGAACTTGGGTCAACTTAACCAAAAAATGAGTGTAGATTTGTAAGTTTATACCTAAACACAGGTATGTACCCACTCATCTGGAAAAATATATTTGAAATAAGTGAGAACAAATTAGGAACTGTCAGCAAACACAATCCAGATCCTACTGAAGAAAACGTATACCGTGAAATAAAAGCAAGATATATAAATATGGGTAGAAGGAACAGGCAAATGACACACCTCTGTTGCTGCAGATTTTGCCATCTGGAGATGTGCATCTTTTCTTGATCTCCCAGGGGGTGATGTCACACTGGAATTCACATTTATCTCCATGCCAACCAGCCTCACAGTAACAGTTTCCACAGTAACACTTTCCATGGCCTTAAGCCAAAACAAATTTTATACAGTGAGAAAAAGGCAAATTTTTAAAAGGCATTAACAATTTAACTGTTTTGATCTTTTATTTTAAAAACTTCTAGTGACAGACTCAGAATAGGAACAATTTATAAACCATATATGCCTACATAAGATAAAGGTTATCTGAATTATGTTTTTTTCCCAAGGATACTTTAGAACCTGTTGTCTTTTAATCACAGACTAAATCTAATCAATAACACTATGAAAATAACATCAATATTTATAATTTTCTAAGCTCAATTTCTGAAACTTTGTAGGTAAATTTGGAATATGGTAAATGCAACAATTAAAATTTAAACACAATTTTAAATGTTAAATAGAAGACCCTTGCCCACCACACTTTGCATACCAAAGAAAGCATTGCGTGGTTTTGAATCCTCAGATAATTCCAGAAGAGCAGCCTTGAATTACTAAAAATTATCTATATTGTATATGATTTCCCTTCTTACCTGTTAAGAAGATTTTTGAACATGGATAAACCAGTTCATGAAAGATAAGAATTAATAAAATGAAACTTTTAGACGTTCATTTAACAAACCATACATCTCCCTAACAGATAGTCAGGTCATCTGAGGCTTGATGAAACGAGGCCCTGAACATTAAGACACTTCTTCCATGTGCTTGAATGGCACAAAACTTTTAAAATAAGCAGCTGAAATTATTGCTAATCTTGAAGGATCAAGTCAAGATCTTGCCCTTTGTTCCTTCTCGGTTTAATAGACTTAGTCATTCTATTACAGTCTGGTCAACTGATATCCTTGACTCTAAGAGCACAAATTTAGTCCTGTGGAATACCATTTTTATCCTGTTTTTACAATTACACATGGAATTTTCATTACAATTGTTTGGTTGCATGTCAAAAATAATAGAAGATACAAATATCTTATTACTTAGATAACTAAATAGCAAAGACAGTCTAAATTAATACTTATTACCAAAAAGGTTGCTCCTGAACAGTGAAAAAGAAATAAAAATGGCGAAAAGGTAAATTAAATCGATCTACTGGCCATTTTTGCAGATTAAAACATCACCATTTGATTCTTCACTCACACTTCTACATTCCTTAAATAAATATGAATCAAATTATACAGTTTGCCACTGCCTCTTGCTCCTGACTGAAAACAAAATCACTACATTAGAGCAAAAAAGCCTTGGATAAAAAGGATCAGGATGAGAATTTAAGTTGCTAGAAATCATGATACTTCATTAAGAATAAGCTGCAACCTGATTCCGAAGTTTATGCAACCTCAGATAAAAACTGACTGATGAAAATCCAGCTGAGGGTGGAAAAGCTGAGCAGATCTTTGCAACTCTGCCCTATCTAAGAACTAGTTTGCTTGAAAAATGCAGTCTCCTTGTGCAGAGATTAAAGGGCATGTTTTCCAAATCAGCATGGCATTGTATGCATTATAAACATGGGTGTTTGTTTTTTCACAAGTTTGATCCTCCTGATTTGGCTTTCCTTGAAGACAATTAAAATCTTCAAGACCTGTCTATACCTTCAAGGGCAACTAAGCAGGTGCTCCTCAAACTGTGGAAGTACAATAGGCATCGATTAGGTTCACCCTGTCTGTGGAGAGTATCCAGGGACCATTTCTAGCTCAGCAGAACCAGGCTGGAACACACTTTTATCACTTCATAAAAACCCTAAATGATTCCTGTGGTGGAAACCCTGTAGAAGGAAAGACTTCATGGAGGATATTGAAGGAGACATAAGGATGGGAAGAGGAGCAATAACCAGATTTTGCATGTGGGGTTTGCTTTTCCTGTGATGAAATTATGTACTTTTGACCTTCTGTTCACATACCGTGCATTTTTTCTGCATGAGGCCTGGTTCAACATATAGTTAGAGGTTTGTGGAAGTTTGTTAGAAAGCAAAGCAAAATCTAACACTCACAACCTACACGAATAAACTTTTCAGCCTACAATAAGCTATGTCAAGCACACTATTAGTCTATAGTTTACATTTATTTTAGAAGTCTCCAAATCTTACATATGGTATCAGGGCTTTTCTACTGATGAATCACAAACCTTAGGGACTTGAATCTACCAGCACATTTTTGTCCCTTTATATCAGCACACTTTGATTTCTGCACGCACGTAAAATCATTTTTTTACAGAGATGCAGCCGGTCTCTTTTGGAATATGGCACCACTGGATAAAATAAGGGAAATAAAAGCTACAAAAAAACTAACAATATAAACCAGCAACAACACAGGTGGGGAAGAAAACCTGACAAAAACAGCAGGAGGAAACTTTACTGGAACACGTAATAGTTACAAGAAAATAAATACTAATGGAATCATTGGCACATAAAAATTATTACCCTTCATTCATTTTATTCTAGGCAATTACTGGAAATATTCTACTCTACTCCTCTATTTGGATTTCAGAGGACCATTCTGTTTAACCTCATTTAAAATCCCTATCTAATCTTATGCAATGAAAAAAAAAGTTCTTTTTGCCATCAAAGGCACTTAAATAAATCTGATTTTCTTCTCTGTGTAGGGATAAAGACAGATACAGCTATTTTACACAAGTACTCTCTCTCTCTATACACACACTCAGAGCAAGCACTACTATCAGTATGAATATTCTGAGAGGAATTCTGAACCCTTCTATATGCATACACACGCCTTCCAGCTCAAGGACAAGCCTCCCTAGTAATATAGGCAACAGCATTTATAATGCCGTAAATGTTGAGTATTGCACAATATTTAACTGCCACATTCCTACCTTATGATGAAATGAAAACACAATTTGAACTTTGTTTATCTACATATCAGCAGAGTTCATTCCATCTTATTCTCTTCCCTTTCTTATCACAGTTTAAACTCTTCTTCATTCATTCTTTTCTCTTTTTATCTCCTGAAATGCTTCTTAGTTCTCATCCTACATTTATTCTTGTTCTTTTTAATTTTTGCTTCCTTGACAAAAAGACTTAATAATCTATTTTTATTTTTTCTTTTGTTTTATTCTGTGTCTTCCATCTTGCTCTTTTCTATGCAATAAAGAATTCAGATTTCTTATCCATGAATTCCCTTAACAAATTACCCTGTATAATCCTCTTTGCAGTTCTTCCAAAAAGAGGAGGTCATAAGATTTCTTCACTGTTTAACCTCGTTTAGCTCATTTTTGAATCTGAAATTCCCACTTACAATCTGTGTGCTAAATTCTTGCTAATAGAGTTACTTTTATTTTACATCATACATTCAGTAAAGACACTCTGTATTTCTATGCAACTAAATGATTTTATAACATTGTCTATTTATCGTCATCATCCTTCTGGTACTCACTAAAATACATACCTGTACAAATCTCTTCCGTCTCATCATCTATGCATTCTCTGTCATCACATTCACAAAATTTACCATAGACTAGTCCATTTCCTTCCGAGTTTGCACATTTACACCTGCCACACTGACATGTGCCTGTAAACATTTAAGACAGTACTCAGTGACTGAAGTTTATGGAAAGAGTTTCATTACTCCATGGGGTACATATTTTATTTCCAAGAAGGCTGAAATCTAAAGACCAAATGAAGACAGACACAGAAAAAATCCATATCAACAAAAAAATTAATCTCAGCATTCAAGTGCTGATTTTTAATAAGAAGCATCATGTTTTCCTAAATAAAATTCACTTCTAGAATTGTCTGTCTGACTTCATACAACCAAGGTATGAAGCCAGCTTCCAAAATACTTTGCCTACTGACAGGACAATATTTAACATAGTCATCTTCTCAAGAATGAAGCCTGGTTTTCTCTAGTTCCACAGCCATGCTACATGAGAGTAACAAACATGCCTACTGAGGGCCTGGAAATATGTCTGCCTAAATTCACAAAGTTCCTTTGCACCCTAGTCTCTGGTCCCTTTTTCCACAGCTTTCATCTGAGGATTAGGATTCGGTAAGTATAGCCTTGGAAAAAAAGCCAGGCATCAAAGGAGGGAAACATTGGTGAGGAACATCTGCATGAAGACCTTATGATTAGGTGTCAGGAAAAAAGGACTCAGACTAGAAAGCAATTACCACAGCAATACAACAGATGAGCTAATTGCAGAGAAATACATTCATAGCACTATTAAACAAGCTCTAAGTATTACAGTAGCATATCAACAATTTTACTGCAAAGTGCATGTTTTTCCAATGCTATTGATGTCTGCATTACAAGTAATTTCATTTATTTGAAGAATTGTAGAAAACTCTATAATAATATCTTGTTATTTTAGGACTTAGACCCAATCTAACTTTAAGCTTTTAGGGTTCATTTTTCTTCTGTTCTGAGTGATGTCTCTGAAAAGAAACCTTGCAAGAATGTTAAAAGCTATAATGACACTTGCTGATTTGTCACAAATAAAATGAGATTTACCTCTGTCAGACCAGCGAGTGGTCTGAGAACACAGGTCTGCCCAAGATTGTCTCTCAGTGCAAGAACCCTCAGGACCCCCAAATGCTTTGGAAGGGTAGAGATGTTTTTTCTCACAACATAAAACACAACAGGAAATGTGCTTACGTAGAGAATAGCAGTTTAGGTAGGATGCCCTAGTTGCTCTGACATGATTAGGAACAGTTAAGTCAGAAAAGTTAAATTTTAAGTGCATATTGATTGGTTCATTAAAATAATTACAAACGATGGTTAGCTATGTGACAGCAGAGGATTGTTTCTGCAACAACTCATGTCATCCCTTGCAATTTTTTATTGGCAATTAAAACACGGAGCTCAGATCCCAAACTCAACGTTGGCACTAGATCAACAGACAATCTCATTCAGGCAAAATGGCTACAGCCATGGCTAGAGCATGTACAGCCCATCAGTTACCCCAAACTCTACAGACAGTCTCATTGGAATTCCTGTCCTATTTAATACCAGCAAAACTGAAAGCATTTATTCTCTTCCTGATCTCACAAGCACTCCCCCCCACACACATTTTTAGCGGTTGTTCAGCTACGTCGGTTTTCTTAGGAAGACTCAGTGATAGACTGAGACCACTTCTAGCCAAGAGAATAAAGAGAAAAAAACTCTTAATATTCTTGTTTATGTACTTCAACTGATCACAATGAACTATGCTTATTTCTAAGAGTCATTTAGGTGTCTCTCATTTACTAGTCAAACAATCATGAGTTTCATATAATATGCATTATTGTCATAAATGAAATGCATCATTTACTCAGTGCTCAAAATTTACTATATGCTCAAAATTTTATGTTAAATTGGTTTCACAACCTGTTGTGAAAGTCTAGCTTCTCCGTAGGAAGTCTTACAAATCCCTTGGGTTCTTTGCTCATGTCAGCAAGTAGCTTGTGAGAAATTTATTCGTATGAAAATATATGGACACAGAGAGAAAGGCCAGCAATAGTGAGCAGAAGCAGGGTTCTTGAAACATTCTTTCTCAGTGAGCAATGGAATAACTGGAAGACAGTTTCTGGTCTCAAGCCTTGACTGGTAGCAAATGCCCTTCAAAATGTTACCGTTTTGCAGTGAAGTCTTCTAAAGGCTGTTTCTTTTTCCCCTGACCTTTTTTTTTAAGGAAAGGACTTCCTATCTAAGTCAGGATGAGTTATAAAGAATTTGAGAAAAGAGAGTTACCAAATCAGAAAAGTGAAGACCGAAGTACCCCATTAAAGTGATTCAGCAGATCTTCCTCAACTGTTTTTAATAATTGTTACAGCTCAGAAGTATCTCAAAAAACTGTACAGCTGTAAATGTCCTGGGAAAATATATGCAAATGCCATTTCTGCATGCTATAAAAACAAACAGAAAAAAAAAAAATGTCACTTTCTCTGTTAAAACCATTGCCATAACCTTTTGATGGGCAAAATGCATGTCACAGCTGCAGTTTCATCAGCCTAAAATAAATATGGATAAACTAAAGTACTAAAGTAGCCATTCTGAATCTGTGCACATCACAGGCACAGGAATAGGCCTGTAGGAAAAATAAGCATTTTAGTATACATACTGTTATTTCTCAATCTCTTGAAACACACTCTACAAAATTTCCAATTAGAAAAGAAATTACAGTGATTCACAAGATAACAAAGGGAGAACATCAAGCCAACAAAAGCAACAAAAGGCACCTTACCTGCACCAGAACAGATGATATCTTGAGAATTCTTGCACATTTCATTGCTTTTCTTCCGTGTAAGATTGCAAGTAGTTGGATACTGACAAGCTTCACCATACCAGCCTTCATCACATTTGCACTTCCCACAGTCGCACTTACCGTGGCCTAGCAATGGAAGGAAAGAGCGTGTCAAGTTCTTTTTTTCATTCAGAAAGTGATGTTTTCTAATCCGGCTTTTAAATTAAATACCATCAATTATAGTTTTAAATGACCATGATTAACAGATTCACTTAACATAGTTCATAAGCAATTAAAAGTGGAAATGAATAAATATCTTCTTAAATACACCTGAAATTGCCATGACTTTCAAATCTAATGCATGTAATTTTGATAGGTCTACATATGAATTTTTATCTGAAGAAGGAAGAACTAAAACATCCTGTAAGAAAAATGGGCTTTCTTACTACTTTCACCTCTTTCTCCTTCACATATTTGCCCACTGTTAACTCCTATTAACATATCAAACTCCAAGTGCAGAGATTCCATTTGCCTCCTTGGCCAGCTGTAGTTGAAGAATATTTAGAAACCGCAGCCAGAGGACACAGGATTAGCTATTAAGGTACAAACTCTGAAAAGGAGCATGGGGAGGACCAGCTACAGAAGGTTACCAGCCACTTCCTCATGCAGCAGAGGCCTCTACTGAAAGTGTAAATCCTTCTTCCTGATGCCTCCTCTGGCTACTGCTTTCTCCAGCCCTCTCCCACCCACTAAGACTCTACTTGGCTGCTGCTGCAAAACTGAAATTTGTCTTTAAATATTGACATAATATTGGCAACGTAGTGTATTTTGATACTCATAGAACTCTATTTACTTTTCATTCTTTGCCGAGTGTGAAGTATCTTAAAGAATCAACACAGATGTTCAGTCTATTGGGACACTGCATGCTTAGTCTTCTATCAGTTTAATAATACAATGCCTCAATTTTGTAGTATGCCTAATAGCATGAAGAATTATAAGACTAAGGAAATTTTAGTTTAAAAAAATCTTTAGTTTTCTTGCAAAAATACATAAAGATGAATTTACACTGTTTAGGTTGCACATTAAGTATCATGTTCCACGCTAAATTCCAGGTGCAAATTTCTATCAGTTAATTCTTTAGCATTCCTTTACAAGTTTAGATAGTAACTGTGAAAACAATTGCAAATCTTTTAAACTAGAATATTCAATTTTAAAATAAATACCACTTGCATGTTAATCTGATTGATAGAAGATTCCCTTCCAATCACTACATGTAGAAGAAAAAATAGAATCTTATTTCAGTCTATTTTAAATGCATCTGTTGCCTGCAGTTAGAGTCAACTGCCTGAGAATACAAGCCTAGTCTGCTGCCAATAGGAAGGAATTTAAATAACTATTGTAAGTAGAAAATTTTAATGAGAAAAATGAATAATTTTGGTGCTCAGTAAAATTTTGTTTGCCTTCCAGGATGGTCCTAAGACAAGATAGAGTTCAATAGCTAAAAAATAAAACATAGTTCAAAAACATACGAGAGAATCATGTTAGTTCTTGTTTAAAATAGGCGTTGTTATCTTTAAAAATGCTGAATAACACTCTATTGGGTAAAAAAAAAAAAGGAAAAAAAACAGGAATATATAAAATATATTATAAAAAGCTACTCTTGTGATTACTCTGCTTCACTAACAGGTGACAGGATAAGCCATTCTCAAAAATGGGAATAAGTTCTAGGGTAGCTTAAAAAAATGAAGACAAAACATAACCATCTTCCTGTATTTTCCTTCCTATCAGGGATTACTAATCATAACGATTTTGCATTCTCCGTGTTAGACACTCTTTGACAATTTCATATTTGCTGTTGAAGAAAATATGCTCTAATGAAAGGAGGGCTGATTTTCCTGTTTTCATGACTGAATGACCGAGTAAAGCTGAAGCCAGTGCTGGTTAGTACTTATGGTCCAGCAGCACTAACCTCTCAGTTAGAGATGCAATAACCTAGCATATGGTGAATAAAGGAAAAAAGATAATTTCACTTAAAATCCATAACAGCCTGCTTAAAGAAAACGGATAAAAGACTTCCATGACTGTAGACATACAGAGCAGTTTATTGGTTTTATTTAACAGGAAAATACAAAAAAAAAATGAAATTAATGAAATTAAACTGAGAGAAATAATGGAATATATCTTGCATGCAACTGAAAGAAACCGTAAGTAAGTTAATTAATATGAATTGGTAAGATTGTATTAATGATTTTCACCTGGACTCAGAGCAAGTGATAACACATTCATTCTTTTTTTAAAAAATGGCTATAATAGGAATAAATGCTAAACATAAATAAATCAGAGTCTCCTTTTAATAACATCAGCAAATAAGGGACATAATGAAGAGACAAGGAAGTGCTAGAAGTCCTTTAGCACTGTGAGTGTGGGCTGTGAAAAAAAAAGCAGACTCAAACATGCAGAAAAACCTTTTATAACAAAGGACTCCATTTCTAACTAGATGAGCAGTCACCTCAGAGTGTTTCTGGAGTATGCAGAAAGCTCATAGGGTGTGAAATAAAACTAATATGGAAGGAAAACTGGCAGACATCAGAAAGTATATGGAGGAAATGAGAAGAGAAAATGTTAGGCAGGGTCAGATCTTGCAAAATTGCAAGGACTTTAATGTACTTTCATCATCCAGATAAAAAGACAACAGGAAAAAGAGTGCTTTCAACAAGCAGAAAAAAGCAGTTAGGACTAAAGATAATTTACAGACAGTCACAAAATTAATATGGGGATGTTGACTACACTAGCAAATGCAGTATGACTAATGATACAGACTATGGATATGAAAATTACTCATCTGAGAACAAAACAAAGACATAAAACTGTTTTTAAGAAAGTGTCTAGACCAAGAGTGAGATCCCATAAACTCCACTCGAGAGTACTTAACAATACTTGCACAAGAAAGGCCAATATAATAACAAAGACTTCTAATGAAACTATCAGGCTGGCAATCAAATGTCTGAAAAATAAAAAAACCTATTCTTTTTCTTTTAGAAAAAAGGGATGTACATGATCCAAGCAACATAAAAACAAGTGGCTCTGACCTCATGAACTGTGCGAAGATTTGAAACAAACTATGAAACACTGCATAGCTAGAAACATTGAGGTAATGAATAATGGGGTATAATGAATAAAAGCTTTATCCCAAAATAGACTGTCACTACACCAAATTAACCTGGCATCTCCCTTTATAAGATAACTGATGTTTTAAGAAGAGAAACACATGAAACTTAGCTGATACAGTCATATATGTTTGATACAATATCACTCCAGAAAAAAAAAATTATTATGGATAAGGTACTCCAAAAATGTAGATGAATCACAACCTGGTTTAATGGAAGGGAACAACATTAGCACCAAAAGGGATATTAATGGGATAGAAATCGGATTACTAATGGTGTTTCAAAGGATGGTTTTGGAACCAAATGTGTTTTACTGATACTGATACAAAAATTCAGAGTACGCTAACAACATTTGCCCCTGACACAAATCTGTAACCTGTAGAAATGTGAAGATGGACTGACAGTCTGAAGGACTGAAGTGATTATAGTGGATTGAAACTAGAAATACAGAGCACAGTGTCACATATCAGGGCCAAGGAAGAGAGGCCAGAGGCTAAGGCCTCTCCAGTTGGAAACAAGAAAAGCCTGAGTGGATACTCGTGTCAGCACTGGAAAGATGGAGTGATGAAGTCTTTAGCTGAAGAGTCTGAGATGTACTCATTGAAGACATATCAGGAGGGACAGAAAATGGTAGAAAACCTGATTGTGAAATGCAACACACGATGTATGTAAAGTGGACAACGGTCCAGTTTATGATGGAAAATTACTATTAGGTCTCTGAACTTCAGAAGAATGAGTCAAGTTTTCCAGAGAAATCACTTGTAGAATTTTAGCCACTTGTAAAGCTGCAATAGGCAGGGAATTAAATCATCTCAGCTGAAAGATGGTAATTAAAACCAGCTATTTGGCTCTGATCAGGTGCTTTTGCCCTTCAACTCTCAACTTCATTCCAAGCACATTCTAAAAATGTTTTTCTGCTACATGTTTGCATACCTGTAGGTCCAAGAGGAAAGACACAAAGGTGAAACCTCTGACAAAACATTCTGAATCCTCATCTCATATGTATGTATTCAAGGCAGTAATTTGGAAGCCTGATTTCTCTGGGATCTATCTGTAATCCATCATGAGAGACAGGCATTTCTGCAGAGTGACTCAGGTCCTGTGTGGGCTGAATAGTCCTCAGAGCTTGGCTGTCTTTCTTCACTAGACTACTGGGAAGCATACAGTGATTGAATAGGATACATGGACTTAACTAGTGGGACTTTGAAGTTTGGTGCAACAGTAGATTTGTATGCATGCAAATAAAGACTTTTTTCATTTATTTTCTTTTGCTTCACTTATCTATATGATAATCTGTGCCATGTTTTAAATATTCTGGCATAGTCTGAATTAAAAAAAGATAAAGGTATCGGCTCAGTTGTAGGTTGAACTCCATCAGTTTATGAAAACAATTATATTAGATAAATATTGGGCAAACCAGAAACTGATTCTGAACATTGCTTCCATTTCTATGCGCCTACAGAAATCGTAGCATTTAACACTGCTACTCCTATTTCTGTGCCTCCCACTGGAAAAGATTGTCTCCACCTTTCTATCAGCTTAGGTTGATTTTTTTATTTCATACTAATGTTCACTATGGCTGAAAGCTCTGCTACATCTTAGTGGTTAAATTTTCCACAAGCAATGCAAAGCAAAATCAAATTACTTGTTTTGTTACCTAACGTGTTTTGGCCACCTAAGACCACGAGTGAATGTATGCATGCCTATATGTCATAGAATCATAGAATGGCATAGGCTGGAAGGGACCTGAGAGATAATCTAATCCAACCTCCCTGTCATGGGCAGGGACGTCTCTCAACTAGATCAGGCTACTCAAGGCTCTGTCCAACTTGGCCTTGAACACCTCCAGGGAGGGGGCAGCCACAACATCTCC